TTTCTTTAATTATTTATAGAATAACATTACAGAATAACAGAAGATTGCATATACATAATTTTTATATAATATACTTATTAAATTAAATTTAATTAATTTGTAAGGAAGCGAAATGCATATGAAAAATGGCAGAATTATTAAATATTACTGAATAAGCAAACAACTTGAACAAATGATTTCCTTATACATTTTGTTAATCTTTATGTATTTTTTTTTAATCTTTATGTTAACGACATTCTTAATATTATATCATATTCCAGATGTCTTATGTTTGCTGACGATGTCAAGATTTTCAAAATAATTAGCAGCAGTGGGGATACCAACGGGCTCCAGACGGACCTTAATAGATTAAGTTCTTGGGCGTCAACTTGGGGTATGTCTCTTAACCCTGAAAAGTGCAATATATTATCTATTTAGTTAAAAAAGAATATGGCACAGTTATTTAATTAATGACAATCCCATAAATCGGGTGCATTCACACAAAGACCTTGGTATTTTCATTGATAGCACCGTTCGTTTTTCTTATCATGTTGATTATCTTGTTGGCAAGTGCAATAGACTGCTTGGGCTGATGTGGTGCAATTGCAAAAACTTTGACAGTCAAACTAAACTACATCTTTATTTCAGTATTATTCGCCCAAATTTAGACTTTTGTTCAGTTAATGTAATTCTATTTCCAAAACCCAAGCTTCACGTATTCATCGATTACATAATCACTTCTTGCGCTACATCAGACACAACAATAACCACAACATTCCTTACATTCAATCCCCGGAGTCCCGTAGGCAGTTTTTTTATCTTGTTTTTTTATATAACTGTGTTAATTCTTTTTTTCGATAGCGATTTGTTAAGTAATTTTAGTCTTAGAGTCCCCAGTCGGTGTCTTAGAAATAATCCAACTTTTCATATTCCCTTTAGTAGACTTAACGTGCTTAAAAAATTGTTGTATTAGTAGATTAAGCTTAGCTTATCATTAAATGACATAACCAGGTAAAATGGCCGACCAACGAGCCAACATACTGAATAATTAAACGACTGAGCAAGCAAGGAGGCAACCTACCAACCAACCTACCAACCAACCATGAAGGAAAGAAATTTCCTCGATGAACCAACCAACTGCCCCTTTTCTGTTGGTTTCTGAAGTGATGTAAACACTCTTTACAAAAACAGCGTGGAGCAATTAAACACAAAGCTCCACGCAATGTAGTCCCTTTTTTAGTGACACGTTTATAAGCTAAACATGTTTAGGTCCGTCCTAATGTGTTTATGTTTCTGCCGTATTTAGTATTGTATGTGCTTAGTCATTTAACATCATGATGTTAAATACCGAAACACATTTATTGCTAAACACGTCGAAATCCTAAATATATAGCTATGTCTGAACACGTTTAGATTTTAAACTTTTCTTCACTAATTCATGCTTTTCGGACGACTGAACATTTATGTGTCCTTCATTATTTGTATAGTTTATTTGGCCTATATTTAATTAGTTCAAAGGAAGTTTATGTTGTCCAATCACACAAACAACACAAACAATGAATTGATAAAAGAAACGCGAGTCTCATACAATTTTAACCTGTTAAATTACCGTATCATCGTCTGAAAAATATGATTATTTATTTAAAAAAATATTAACATATACAGTAAAGTGCTTTTGAGTCAACTATGAACTTAAAATGTAACAAGAGAGTATTTACATTACGGTACTGTATTAAAAAAAGAATAGTCTTATAACACCAGAAAAACTGAGAAATGAGTAATATTTTATTAGATTCTGCTAATTTCTGTTATAATGTGTGTGTTTTTTTACCCGCATTATCATTAGAAATGTTGATGGAGGGGAGGGGGACGGGAATTAAAATTTATCGAGGGGCCATGTATCAGAAGGGCCACGCCCACCGAGTTTTGAGCTGCACTTGAAAATAACTCTCCTAGACTTTCATTTTCGGACTTAACATACTTATTCTACATATTCTTAATTTGACACTATGCCGTTCAATGTTTAATTAGAATTTTTGAAATTAAATTTCTAAAGAGTCTTACAGTGAAAACATTTAAATACACAACAAAATTAACATTTTTTTATATTACGAAGAAATTGCTAGAGCCTTTTTATGAAATTGGATGGAATTCTTGAATTTAATGACCGTTTCTTTTTAAAGTGGTGGACTGAGATCGGTCGGTCGGTGGGAATGTACTGGCACGATTCCGAGATTACCCCGCTTGCCATCATCTTGAGGATTTCCACGTGGTTTATCTAGACAAAGCAGATATTCATGAAATAGTTAAAGATTAAAACATCCCAGGAATATCATAGAGCAGTTGATACACAATAACTTGTAGAAGTGAGACTCTCCCCTGACAACATTCCGGTTATTTCCTAGTCCAGGTGGTTAAGAATAATGATCACTCATGAAAGTGAATGTATGAAATTGAGATTGCCTGTATACTTTTTAAAGAAATAAATATTTCTTGTTCATTTGTTGATATTTCTTCCCTATTCAATTATCATTCTGATTATTACAGTCCAACCCATCCCCACCCCCTCCTCTTGGCAACGGTAGTTCAATTAGTATGAATTTAGGAATAATAATATGTACAGTACAAACGAATATGATACAAGATATTTTATTGTTACTATTGAATGATGCTCATAACAAAATTAATAAAAAATAAATAAAATAAATTACATATATAATTACTTTGGTCTTGAAATAAGGAACCATAGAAGGCTAAGCACAGATCAGACAGGTTAATAATTTTCGCGACGGCGCACAGTGGGCCAGAATTGTTTCAAAGTGTGCCGAAAGTCAATACTTATAAGAAAATACTGATTATGTTCATGTTAAGACTGTTTAAGGGGTTTTCAAACCTGCTGAATTCAATTAAACTATTTTTAAATATGTATGACGTCATCAAATTACTGTTTTTTTGATAGGTTGAGTAACATATTCATTGTAATACCTAGGCAGATTCATATTACCTTGGTTATTAGAACATATAAGGGTTTTCTAACCTGTAGATTTCAACGCAAGCATATTTAAATATGTATGACGTCATTAAAGTATTTTTTTTATTGGACGACGTAAGATTTAAGATCTAGACAGAATAACTTGCCAGAGCTCAGTATGACACGAATGAGGGTTTCTAGACCGGAAAATTCAAATTAGAACATTTTACACTTTATGTGACATTATTAAAATACATTTCTTCAAAGAAAAGGGTCGGAGGTGGAGTGTTAAGAAGACACCTGCAGTACCCCATTAGTCCGCGTCCACCCCATTAGTCAGCCCTCACCAGTGAAAATAAGCACAAAAGATCACGGTCAAACAGACTGAATTTACCTAATATCGCTATAATTTGCGTGAGCAATAATTGTTGTACTTGAATAGATGCTAAATAAATAAATGAAAAAAAGAAATTAAATGGGCGGTCCCACTTCATCAAACATTTACCCCCATCCCATTACTCACCTTGGGGTGCCCTTATCATCTCCAGAGGCAATTTGGCTTCAGATTTAGGATGGAGTCAAAATGTTTAAAAAATATTAATAAAAAAATAAAAACAAAAGAGAAAGCGTCGGAAAAAATGATTCCTAGAATAATTGAAAGGGGGTCGAGGTCCTCCCCGGAAAAATGTTGTTTCCTAAATGGCGAGAAATGAGATTTCCCGACTTTTGAGGTGTATTTTAATGACATTTAAGTTTTTTTAAAGTTCAAGATTTTCCCTCCTTTGAAAACAGTCATGTCAACTTTGTCATTCTTATTACAGTAAACAGGCCTATGTGTGTATAAAAAAAAAATGAGTAGTTGCATACGTAGGCCTATTTTGTTTTCCATGAACCGATGAACCCCAAATAGGACGGTGGTGGGAAAATGTTGATTCCTATGTGTCGGAAAACGGGTTTTCTCAACTTCTGAAATTTTGGTTTCCCTCTCTTGACGTTTTTTAATGAATCGATGAACCCTAAAGAGGAACCGGGGGAGAGGCGCGGAATCATGTTAGCCCCTGGAACATGTTGATTCCTAGATTGCGGGAAGTGAGCTTTTCAGACTTCTGAAGTATCTTTTAATGACCTTTAATAAAAACAAAATCAAGGTTTACCCTATTGAAAACGGTCAGGTAAATTTTCTGATTTTTAATACAGTAAAGAGGCCTATTGTGTGTGTAGAGGTATAAATATGATTAATTGCTTACGCATTCTTTTTTTTTTTTTTTTTTTTTTTTTTTTAAACGGGGTTTTTTCTTTTTTTTTTTTTAAACGGGGTCATCCCCCATCAAAATTTTGATTGAGCATTCCCGACATTTAATTGTCCAATTGTAACACAAAATTCAATAATCAGCTTACGGGTCCTGGAAAAGTAAGTCTAGAATTATTTTTTTAAATATTTATTTAATGTTTTTGTCCAAGGGGTTGTGGTCAGGACCCTGACTCCTCCAGATCCACCAATGATCTTCCTCCCCAATTCACTCCTAGATACGACACTGGAAATCGAGTGTACTTGTTTTTACATTTGGCACCCAATGTTTGCAGGAATGATTTTATCGTATACCTTAATTTAAAAACGGCGCTTTTGTAAGGGGGGTATATTAAATCGCTTGCTAAATGCAGGGTGGCAGATATTGGGAGCTAAACTTGGCATCAACGTAAAGCTTAGGCTCTGCCAGAAATGTTAATATCAAAAGCATGACGAAAATCGCCGGCAATTTTAACTTTTAAGTTGGTTTTATGAAAAAAATGTTTTTAAGCGTTTTTGGCTCATATTTAGTGTCCTTTATTCTAAAAATATACCAATAATGTCATTTTTTATTTTACTATCTAATTTAGTTAACAATAGGTAAATACTGCAAGAAGTATCAGGTTGACTGCTTTCATCTAAGTAAAGTTATAGGGAGTTTTTCAAAACTGTCAATTTTATCATTTTACGAGTAAAATACAACTTTTTCATGTTTACATGGTTATATCACACTATGAAAATTCACTAAATATGAAATTATTGGTGGATTAATATAATTTAGGATGTTCTCGACATCAAATAACCTTTAAAAGTTGAAGTTGTCACATTACCTATTTTCGACTTTTGGCACACTTTGAATTGATTCTGGCCCACTGTGCGGCGTGCCCATAGGAAGAATTATCTGTACAACGTAGTCTCGGGGACACTGCGTCCTGGAATTCAGACGAAGAGGACAACGTGTCCTCGTATGCGCTGATGATTCTACATGACGTCAGTACGTTCTAGCTCTTACCGTCATTAGTGCATTTGAAGGATTTTGTACAATGTTATTGCAGTATTGGTAAAAGTAATTTATTCTATATTAAAGCTAACCTTTATTATATGATAAAAAAGTTGTCATAAAAATGTCTTGCTGTTTATAAAAAAAAAACAGACTATATTACATTATTTATCTTAAACACATTATTATTATTATTATTATTATTAGTAGTAGTAGTAGTATGTACAATATTGATTTCATATTTAATATAATGTATACAATTTCTAAAAAGTCTAAATAATATCAATCATTACGTTGACATTGATGATGGCTATCTACATGTCTTGGAATTTCGACAATCCGACTTTCCTCTGTCAGCGCAGGATTATGTTCGGTTGCTGATCCCGGTGCCTTGACGGGCATATTTGTGATGAGCTGTTGAAAATTGGTGAGCAGTAACTGCGGCAGTGAGTGACACTTCGCCACCTAAAAGCACACCCAGTATTACTTCAGCAAAAGCGTCTCGACTACTTTCTTTTGGAAGTTGTAACATATCAAGGCAGGTCTAAAATAGAAAAAAAGCACCAGTAAGTCAATCAATCAGTCAAGTAATCAATCAATCAATCAATGTATTTACATTAGTAGCGAACGAAAAACAATTAATTCAAATAAAAAAATTTTCTGGTAAAGAATAAGTATTGTATGTTGTCTCTCGGCAGAGACTAAATTCATCTTGCGTGTGAACATAGTTACTTGTATACAGTGGCGTGTCCAGAATTTATCGAATTGGAAAGTGTGTGTGGGGAGGGGGGTTAGCTTTCCAACATAAAGGTCTGTTTGCAAGTTAAGTTTGAGGCCAGGGCCGGCCACCGAATCTCCCTTTCTGTCATGTCTGGTACCGCTACTGAAGCTGTTTGCAAAAATCATGCAGCAGGCTTGTGAAATGTATTACGGATATGTATAAGTCTGTTCATATTTACCTGATATGCCAGGTCAGTATAAATAGTCTGCTAAAGCCATGAAATATATAAATCAATACTACACAATTTAATATTCTTGGCTGATGCAATGTATTTTACAAAGATGTTTTGGTAGAAAGAAAAAATGTAAACGCCCTTTGATTTAGGGAAATCAACAAAACCAAATTAGATAATATGATTATATAAAGCTACATAGGGTCTCTGACTTAGACCATAAAGTGGAATAACCCGACAATAATTAAGTGGCCAGGAAGTCTTTATTTGCGTTAGTGCTTACGGAAGCTTAAAGTAACCCTCCGAGTTTCCTAGTTTTCAAGATAATTCCAGTATATTGGAAACATGGGGTGAAGCACTTTTAAGACGGATTTCCGAGATCCACATATCTCGAAAAAAAAAGTCTTAATAAAGTGATTTGTTCTATGTCTCCAAAACTCGGCCATCGGAAAGTCACTTTAAGCTTCCATAAGTGCTAGTTTTGAAGACGATTATAACAAATAATGTACTCACCTTCTGCGAGGGCAACGATGTGCCGCCCCCAACAGTTCCAATCATCAATGATGGAATCGTAATGCAAAGTCGTAGGTCGCCCTCTCGTGTTTTCCTCATTTCTGTGATGCCGATGTGAGATTCGGAGACACAAGCGGCGTCTTGTCCACATGCGATGAAAACAGCGGCCAACGCATTGGCAGTGTGGCAAGTTAATCCTGAAATTCGTTAAACAAAATTAGAAATGTTTTACTAAACATTTTAGTTTAAAAGAAATAAAAAGCTATGATCTAGGTGGCGTAACTTACCAGCACATCCCTGCATATGCTGACCCACCAATACGGATTGATTTAGTTCGCTTATATTGTCGACTGTGAAATTAAGTAAAACGAAAAGTAAAATTAAAAATTTCAGGAAACATCATTTATTCATAATAGCAAAAGCTTAATGTAAACGAAAGTTAACATTCAGAAGCCTTTTACTTCGGACAAGTCTTTTATATCAGAACACCGCTAGCATTGTTATGTATCTACTTAATTATATATTGAATATATATATTTATTATTATTATTACTATCCTCTATTACAGTTTCCCTCTCATAGGATTTTCCTAGAAAGGTAATAAGATAATAGGCCTACATTTTATGCCTACCTGTTGTTTTCATAATTCGCTCTACAACTTCTTTAGGACACACAACTTCACCAGTAACGTAGACACCTCTGGTATCATTGAAGAACCCAGACGATGCTTTCTTGTCTTGGGAAGATCCCGACTCTAGATACCATACTTTCGGCTGAATAGGTGCTTTAGGAAGTATGTGTTGAATGGCTGCATTTGTTGCAAAAGTGCAAATATTCTGACCACATGCGTTCCCAGATTCGTACTTCCATTTTGTAATAACCTTGTTGCCATGCAAATTCGCAGCTATTTTCATCAGCTTGCCATGGTTCGTTGTGGTTTCTGCAACTTGCTTCATAATAGGAAATAGGTCCGGACTGTTAAACCACTGGAGAAATTTGTACGCGTCCAGTAAATTTTGAAATACGAATTCTGGTGCTCTCTGAACGGTTTTCCTTAGGACAGCCGTATTTATACCGCCACTTTCATTGATAAGCTTACAACCTCTTGAGTACGATGCCACTAAAGCTGATTCTGTTGTGGCAAGTGGAACAGCATACGGTCCATTGGCATGCATTCCATTTACATTAACATTCACCATTCCTATTGGCACCTTTACGGTTCCCACGAAGTTTTCAACGTTGCGTGTATATACGCTGTCATCGAACATGTCATCCAATGGAGATAAATCTACAGTCTCCAAAGCGCTGGGATGGATGTATCGCTGTCTGTTTACTGTCGATGTACTAGCAAGACCGGCCGTTTTAGGCTGGCTCCTAAAATTTCAAGTAAATGAAACCATGCTAAGCTTAAAGAAATCGCAACAAATAAAGTGCGTTGATTAAATATATTTTAACTATATACTTTTGTTAGTAACAAAACCAAAACAGCAGTTGCATGATTCTCTATAATTTTTGAAATGAGTTTGTATACATACATATATATATATACACAATATATATATATATATAATAATAATAATAATAATTATAATAATAATATGTTATATTTATATAGCGCTTAATATACCAACAAGGCCTCTAAGCGCTTCACATTACTACCCCCGGTCATTGGATTAGACGCCTATGGAACAAAAACATTTAACCCTACCAAGTACCCATTTATACTTCTGGGTGGAGAGAAGCAATGTAGATAAAGTGCCTTGTCCAAGGACACAAGCGAAATGCGCAGCGAGGGGATTGAAATATATATATATATATATATATGCCTGTCTCTTATACACATCTAGATGTGTATAAGAGACAGATATATAAGAGTGGTGTGTGTGTATGTGGTTGTGGGTGTGTGTGTCATCCATATGGAGTGTCAAAAAAAAATCTACTTACGATTGGTATCTGACAGGAGTGACTTTATTCTTCTGTTTGGTTTGGTTTGAGAGTTTTTCCAATGGTTTCATGTTGCGGTCAATATCCTGACCAGTGCTGCTATGTTGAAAACGTGTTGTAGAAAAATAACGTCGGACATATTTACCAGTAGCTGCCCATTGCAAACTCTTTAAACCTGACATTCTATGGCGTGTCTTGTTAAAATGATAGTGGTGAGATTTTCGTTGAACTTAGATTTCAAGCACACTTGTGCAACTTCCTTTTAAATGAAATAAATGGGTGTATTTAATAGCGATGGTGGTTCTAGAAGTAGTCATAATTGTACTTGATATATCAAGTAGTGTAACGTTTTTTGTTATCAAGTGTGGGTCCAATTACCATAATCATTAGGCCGAATCTTATTAACAATACCTCAGCTCATAAAGTGTAATAACAATTATGCCTAAATGGATTTTAGTCTTAAAAGCTCTCAATCTAAAATATAATTGACTAAATTAAAATCGAAGTATACAGCCGTTACGTTTACGTAATGGCTATTGGAAATAATATATCATCCTAAAACATTTAATTAAAAAAAGTACAAAGCAATAACCATTCACTTTCTTCTAATATTTATCAACATGTAAAACAGAACATAATTTTCATACAAAATTTAACTTACCGTATATATATTTAACGTAAAATAAGTTTATTTTGTGTACATATTAATTCAATGTAACACCTATACACTTTTGAAAATAATTGTTTAACGGAAAAAATGAACATACCTTTAAAACATCACTGGGTCCTTTCGAGAGTACTTAATCTGAAATGTAGCAAGAGTGAAAAACTGTTAAGCTCACCGTCTTAAATACACAAGAAGAAAGAATCTGCGCATGAACAGTTAGTTGTCACCACCCAGTTCACCGTTTTTTGGGTCATTAACATTACAAATGATTGTATAAATATTGGGCAAGGCAACAGTTTCTATAAATACCACACAGCGTCGATACTCGAGATAATGTTCAACAAACAACATTAATCTTTTCCCGTCCATATCTCGATAGGAATATATTTTTAGACATCAACAGGCCTTTAAAATGTGTTTTTTTTTTTTTATCGTAGGTGAAGGGGAGAACTCACTGATTCTGTAGAAAATTGAGAGAGGTTCTTAACAATTTCAGAACCTTACAGGTCTACAGTATTGCAATCTTCTATAAACTATTACACTATGATCAGTAGGCCTAAATTGAATAAACTGAAAACATGCAGAAGATTCACAATCAAAGTCTTAACTAAGGCAGTAAATACTTATTAGATTCCCGGGACTAAAATTCAACAATTCGATTGACAACGAACAAAAATCATTAATGATAATGATATGTTCTACAATCTAAAGAATATATAGGTATTGAATATTAGAGATATTTGCACTTTGTGCAACGGAATAAGATGAGCTTCCTAGTACATTTTTTTTTACCTTTCAAGGTAAACATCATTATACTAATACTGAAAATCATCACTACCAAACAACAGGTGATAATTCAGTATTATACAATATTATTTATAAACAAATCAATGATTTCAATACCATAAATATTGTTATATACTGTAAATAAAACGATATATAACTTATATTGTGTCTTAGCAGCTAATTTAAACAATTTACAATAATTGGTATTGTTCCGATTATCACAAATACATCTGTCTCTTATCGCATAAACACTTTATAATTCGAATATAGTTTAGTATAGATAAATTCACTAGCTATGAAATTATCAACACGTTTTGGTGACTAGAAACGGAAAAATAAAATCATCTAATAGTGAAATAGAAATTGAATAACACGTGAATTATTAGGCCTATCGGTCCCTTATGGCGTTGAACAATTAAGCCAGGCTTACAACGTCGTACAACCGTCGCTCGACGACTCCAATCCCGCTCCATGTAAGCGCTAGAAAAATGGATTGTTATTAAAAATAGGTACCTAACAGGTACATGTGGCTACTGAATTGCATTTTTTTTTCTGTTTGTGTGTTTTGTTTTAATGTATTCCAATTTTGTTATAGTGTTGTTTTAAGTTCAACCAAATAAGGATATGCTAGGTTTGCTTCAGAGTGGTGAACGAAACATTTTCATTGGTTTTTAAAATAAATCAATTTTAAGTATCAAAAATATTAACATTATTAACAGTGAATATGAGGAAAGTCGTGTACATAGTTTTCAACTAAATAATAAATGTCAACTAAATAATAAAATACACAAATACAATTTTTTAACACTTCTTTTTATTTAGGAATATAAAAATGTCTTTATTCTGTAAAAGCTTGAATAAGCGCTGCGGCGCTTATAACATATTTGGAGGCTTCAGTGCTGTGCTTATTCAAGAGCGGCGCTCGTAAAAAGAAATAGTGTGGCGCTTTTCATGCCCGTTCTCATGTTACATATCTCACATTTCCGTATTCAGTAATAATAATAATATTAATAATAATAATAATAATAATAATAATAATAATAATAATAATAATAATAATCTCGTTATTAATACACGGCAAAAAGCCAAATTCAACATAGAAAATACAATATCAAAAAAGAAATTGTAAAAAGTTGTTCTTCCTTGAGTCCGTGGTTCATTATTTACCAACAACAATAATTATATAAAAGTTAAAATAATAACAATAAATTCATCACAATAAATATTATCAATAATAATAATAATAATAATAATAATAACAGCAGAAAATTACAAATAAAAACCTATTCTATTTAAGGTAAAACATCAAAAGACACGAGAATTCTCACAAACAGCATAAAAAACGATAGGGCCTAAGATATAAGATTCAAAAAGGCAACTCACACAGAATTTCAGAACTATAACACATTTCAAACAAACACGGAAGTAAGCAAACAGAACCATCAGTTCATAAAAGTTTTAAAACTAGGAATCATTTAATTTTCTTTTAAACTCGCGGAGACATTTTGAATTTTTCAGTTTTTCATCGAAAGAGTTCCACAATGCAGCACCTATGTAGCTAAAACTTTTTTGTGTATATTTTTAGTTCTTCGAACACCAATATCAATGTTATTTTGCGACCTCATATTGTATTTGTATTCTTTTTTAAGAAAAAGTCTTGACAGATAAAATGGCGTTTGATTGTTTAAAAGTTTGCATAGTAACAGCGTCATTAAATTTTAATTTTGCATCAAGATTTTTCCAACCAATTGTTTGAGTGCTTGTGAACTTGATTCATACTTAGTTGCACCTGTAAATATTTTTGCTGCTCTGTTTTGCAACACTTGGAGTTTTTGCTTGAGAGATGCATTGCATTGGCCCCATATAATATTACAATAGTCGAAGTGAGGTGCAATGATTGACTTATATAATATGCATTGGATATCACGTGGAATTACATCATTGGATTTTCAGAGGTAATATAAACCTGTTTTAACCTTGTTTTTTACTCTAAGGACATGGTCGTCCCATGAAAGATTACCATCAATCATAACACCTAAATGTTTGCATGAAGCAACCCTTTTGATCTGTTTACCCTTTATATCGAAGCATACATTATTTGAAATTTGATTGAGTTTTTGAGTCGATCCAATGATCATACATTCTGGTTTGGTAATATTTAAGCTTAGTTTGTTTTGGGCAAGCCAATCATCGATTGGTGAGCATTTACTTTTGTGGTAAGATTATGTATACATTTAGATGCAAAGTAAAGTGCTGTATCGTCAGCGTACATGCTAATCTTAACATTATCTACACATTTTGGCAAATCATTTATGTATAAAATAAAAAGCATCGGTCCTGGGATTGATCCTTGTAGGATACCACATGTGCTTTCTTTCATGTCAGACGAAATGCCGTTTATAGATGTTATATGATTTCGCTTACTTAAATAACTCTCAAACCATTTAATTATATTAGTATGAAATCCAAAGCCATGTAGCTTATTGATTAAAATATCCGTATTTACAGTGTCAAACGCATTTTTAAGATCAATCATTATCAATCCAACATACATACCATTTTCAATTGCATCAATCCAATCTCCAGTGATATTGATAAGAGCACTGGATGTTGACAATTTAGGCCGGAATCCAGACTGATTTTCATAAATTAATTAGTGAAAATTTAGGTATGGATATATTTGATCAAAAACAACGCGTTCCATTATTTTTGATAACATTGGCAAAATCGATATTGGTCTGTAGTTTGACGAGTCTTCGTGATCACCACCTTTATATATAAAGGGTAAATTCTTGCTCTTTTCCATGATTGTAGAAAGATTCCAATTGAAAGTGACATATTTACAAAAATAGGTTAATGGTCGAACAATATAGTCAATAGCTACTTTAAGAAGTACTTTAAGAACAGGAATCTCATCCAAACCTACTGATTTGCTTTCAGATAATGAATAAATTAATTTTCGAATAATCTTCGTTTATGAAATTAAAATAAAAAGCTTCAATATTTAATGTGTCGTGAGGTTTATTGTGTGAAGTGTTAGTTACGGGTATACTTTTAGCTAATTATGGCCCTATCGTTGCAAAGTATGTGTTTATTACATTGGCAATATCTTTTTTATTAGTAAGAATCTCACTATCATTTTTCAAACTATTAATTTGAGTTTCTTTGTTTTTCCCGGGTGCAATTTTTCTAATGTTTTTTTAAAATTGTTTTTTGAATTTTTTGACTGAAGTTTTTTTTTTAATATTAGATTTATTTCTTTTAATCTGTTTATTTATTTTATTTTTTATTTTACAATAATCATGCCATAATTTACTAGATCGTTGTTTCAAAGCCTTTGTTTTTAAAACGTCTCTCTCTCTATCTTATAGATTTTATTACTGTATATCTTCAGTGAGCCAGGATGCGTTTTCTTTACGCACACGTTTTCTATTAATAGGGGCATGTTTACTAGGCACTTCTAAGAATTTATTCTCAAATGCAATTACGACGTTTTCTATATTAGAAATAAATGTCAATTCGTGCCAATTTATAAAGCTTAAATCCATTTTAAATAATTCTTCATTGAAGTGTCTGTAACAACGACTATGTCTATACTTATGATCACTATTTGTTTTCTTAGTTTTATTTTTCCCAATAATTGCATATACAAGAGAGTGATCGCTATAACCTAGGTGAAGAACACCTGATGTGGTCACCTTATCTGGACACGTAGAGTAAATGTGGTCAATAAGTGTTTGGGTATGTTCAGTAACAGGGGTTGCATCATGTATTACCTGTTTATGTGAGAAACTCTTAGCAATTTCATTCATTCTTTTTGTGTAACACGATGGGGATTTTGCAATTAGATCGCAATTTATATCTCCAATTAAATAAATATTCTTATAAACACATTCAATTTTTACCAAAATGTCTTCAATATAATAAAAAAGAGAAATGGTAGAATTTGTAGGTCTATACCAAGTTATGACAATGGTGGGCTCTTGTTTATATGTATTAATTTCAATAATTTCAAGTTCTTTGACCATTAAATCTTTGCGAAGCTTATACGTAAAATTTCCATTCCTGTTGACATACAGAGCCACTCCCCCACCTTCTCTATTTCTGTCATTTTTGAATATATCATAACCATTTATTTGAAAATCATTATCAGGCATAGACGAGTTTCTGCGATAGCAATTATATCAATCTGGTAATTTAACATAAGGTTTTTAATGAAAGTGAGAAATAAAACACTTGTAATTTACTCAATGTTAATAACAGTAGCGGATTTTGTTGTTTGACGACTTTTTTTAACGGATTTTGGATATTAGTTTTCCTTTTTTGCTGATTTTGTGATTTTTATGCTCAATGTTGCTGAGAAACTTCATCATGTTTTCTAGAAGTGAAATTTCTCTTTTGAAATGGTGTAGGCCTACATTTATGAGCCTTGGCATGTTGT